TTGTTCAAGTTTCAAATTATTTTTTATTAAATCCTTTAAAAAATGATTGTTTCAGATGGCAATATGCAAGCTAACGAAAACGTGGCGAAAAATGTTAAATTACGTACATTGAATTGCGAGTTAAATCCTTTAACTAGAACTGATGGCTCCACTTTGTTCATCCAAGGAGCTACTTGCGTCTTGGCTTCAATGCTAGGACCAGTTGAAGTGAAACTGCAAAATCTAAAAATCGACAAAGCTAATATAGACTGCATCTATAGACCGAAAGCTGGTTTACCAACAATACGTGATAAAATACGCGAAACAATGGTTAAAGATACTTGCGAAGCTGCACTTCTAAGCACATTGCATCCTCGTACGTTAATTTCGATTCAATTGCAGGAACTCGATGATAGAGGAGGCGTAAGTGTAAAAGTGATCATTTCAATTTTCCCATTTATATATGTACAGTTTACATATAGTTAGATGCCTGTGCTATAAATGCGGCTTGCATGGCGTTGCTTATTGGAGGTGTACCTATGAAATTTACCGTAGCTGCTGTTCATTGTGTCATCGATAAAAACGGTGAAATTGTATTGGATCCAGATCAATTACAAGCTACAGATAATCGTGCAAGCTTTACATTTGTGTTTGATTCGGTGGAAAAAGATTTAGTTGCTGTGCATAGCTTTGGCTGTTTTAAAATAAATCAATTCAAAGATGCTCATCTCATATGTCTTGCAGCTAGCAGCACGTTGTTCGATTTTTATCGAGAAGTTATGCATAAATTTCATAATAAAACTAATACACCGTTTAGAGATAACTCCAATGCTGAAAGTGCTGAGCCCATGGAAGCTTAGTAGTTTTGAAATTTTATTTTCTTTTGAATGTTGCCACAATAAAACTACTTTTTTTCTTCGATATTTACGTCGTAACAATTTTGTAAAATGAATTTTTGTACTCCGAGTTATGAATTTATTAGAAACAACAATTGGGAAGTATGTAAGGAATGATTGAAGATTTTTTTTAAAATTCATAAATTTAATTTATAAATTATAAAATTTTTAATACACAGAGATATTAGGTTACACATTGCGGCTCCACAGGAAGATAAAAAGCAGAATTTTATGTCTTTAGAAAATAAACTAAATGAATTAGAGAATGGGCTCAAGCGGCATCATAATGAAATGCAAAATTTAAAAACTCGATTAGAGCAAAAGTGTGCGAATAAAAATGATGATGATAGAGAAGTGAGTAGGGAAATCAATCTGATAAATAAAAACGAGGCATGCACTTTTGATATTCAACGGGTACCACACACAACCTATAAGCATTGGCTCCTCACAACATTCAATTTCATCGGCAGCATTACGTTTATCCAGACAGATAGTTAACTCGCAGGTTGTAATCATTTTGCGACTTAAGAACTTAGTTAGATTTATATCGATGAACGATGACTCCCATTTGTCATTAGCTGCGCCAAAACAAAACTTTTGAACGTTCATAGAAAAAACAATATCATCTTCAATATATTTAAATATAATATTTTGGCATTCAGCGCTAATGTTATTGACAATTTTCATAGTTAAAGTCGAAAGCATCGTTGCAGATTCATCGTTTTTTGGCGTTGGAGGTGACACAGTTTGTGTACACAGTTTTGTGTACAGGACTACTTCTACAAGACTTGGATTTCCCTGTTTTACCTTTCAAAACAAATTCGATTGTGCTAATACTTATACGTATTGGTTCAGACGTAATTTTTGTCCACGGTATCTGTATATTCAATTCGTGAATGTGACCAGACAAAATTTCAAATGGAAGATGCAATTCTTGCTCCAGTACATCTTACCGCAAATCAATATTTTGAAGCGTAACTTCGCCCTCCCAAAGGGACATTTGAAAATCCTGTGGTCTAACATCTTTCACATATTTATCTAAATAGCTGAGAATGATGGGAGTTAAATACGAGTCAATTCTAAACATTCTGGCTTAGGTGTTTTTTTTTACATATATATATATATATATATACATATGCAGATATGGTATTTATTAATAAAATTTCAAAACATTTTTAATAAAATTATTTTTGACTTTTTAATAATTTTTCCACTTTGTAGAATTTTTAATTTTTTCAATTTTATGTATTTAATCCTAAATGAAATATTACGCATCAAGAAAGAAAAAGCCAACTGTTTACAAGTATTTTTATTTGCTTTTATGGCTACGTGAACTGTTATATTTTTCTAATTAGCAACGTTGTAAAAAACGTAGCAAATATGAATATCTTTAGAGTTGCTTAGTAATAACCGATAAAGCAAACCTAATAGTAACTCATGAAATATCACAGTACATTCCTTAGGCAATTCACTGAAGTAGTTTCGTGTTATTTTTTGCAAGCTAAAAGAAATGCCAGAATTTGATGGAAACTGCGATTTTGGTATAGGAATTTCGTCCCTTACGCAAATTAAACGCTAAATTTATTAATTATATCATATTTTTGAAGATATAGTCAAATATTTTTTCAAACTGCTAGAGGATGATGATCTCTCTTCGGGCATTGCAGCCATTGAAACATTGCTAATGATTCTAGAAAAGAAGCAGTGTGAGTATATCACAAATTATTACGATGGTAACATATCCATACCGTTACTTCTACTTTTACTAACAGTCGATACAATACATATCCTCCAAAATACTATGCAAGAGGCGGTGATGGCTATGCCAAATATTTTCAGCTAAACTGCAAAAGTCGCGAAATTTTACTGCCCAACAAGCTCAGAGGTTCATAAAAGGTGCCGGGTTCTTATTCATTCACGTTCTCTCGTAGTTTAAAAAGCCTTATTAACAGCAGCTAAAGCAAATAAGCAATTCCATGTTTACATAACACAAGATGTTCCCGATAAGATGGGGTTGGTGTGGGAATTTTATTGCAAATAATTGAAATGTAAAAAATTTTCAAACAGGGAACAAATGATGAGTGAAATGGAATCCGCGGCGATTGACTGTACACTCATCCTGGACGAAGCACTAGGTTATGTTATGGAATCTGTTGACTTTGTGATGGAGGGAGCCGAAGCTGTAGTCCAAAGTGGTGGAATTGTTAATCGCTTTGGGCACTTTTACTATGGCTTTATGCGCACGTGAAATGAAGAAGCCTTTTTATGTTTTGGCGGAAAGTTTTGAATTTACACGACTTCATCCACTTAATCAAAGCGATTTGCCAGAAGAATACAAGGCAACTAATCAATTCCTATGGACATTAAAATTCTAAACTCGAAAATTTATCTCTTTTTAATCCTTACTAACACCTTAGTATGCTCGCAAAGATATAAATGACGTTTCTAAAGTGCACCCATCCGTCGATTATACTCCACCGGCTTACATTACCTTACTGTTCACAGATTTAGGCATTCTAACGCCATCTGCTGTTAGCGACGAATTAATTAAACTATACATGTAATTAAAAAAAAAAAGAGAATATTTAATTAAATGATTGTTTACCAAGTATATTCTGCACAGTAATTAACAAAGTGATTGTGAGTCAGATGGCAACAAAAATAGAAAAAAGAAGAAAAAAAGAAATATTGAACAATTATATTTAACGATTTGGAGGTAGGTACTAAGATTTGATTATTAAGTTAAACCCAAAGATATTCTAATTTGATTAGCCGGACTTTCATCATAATCAAATTCGGACTCTATGTCATTTTGATCAAGAAACATACTTTCATTAACATTACCGTTTTCATCTTCATCCTGCGAATCAGTCGTATATTCTTCATAATCGACATCGCCATTCGTATTATCGTCGTCGTCGTCGTCCGAATTATCAGCTAATTGATCTAAATCTGCAGCCGCCTTAAGAAGCATAAGAAGAACATATTGATGATAGTTCTCCAATTTCGATATTCAACTTACCGCTTGCCCAGCTTGTATATTAATTTCAATTTGGAATCTAACATCCATGATGAGAAACGCCGTTGTTACTAGTAGCGGTATAATTAGGCGACTCTTCCAAGCTAAATTTGTTAAAAACATGAAAACCTCGCCGAAAGTTGAGTTCATTCTATCATGACCCAATTACACTTCTCCAAGCTTCATTTATGATTTAATACTTTTCGGATGACTGTCGTCTACTCTCTTCCTCCTTTTCAGTAGATTCGTCCTCCAAACGTTGCTGTTGCTCCAGTTGCTCAAATTTTAATATATGAACAGTTTCACCCACTGTTATGGGTTGGATCGGTTGAATTTGTCGATACAAACTTTGTATAGCAGAATTCGAATCCGAAACACGTTCTTCAAGCTCGATCAGCACACCATTACTAGAACTTCGATTAACCTTGCTCCTTAATAAAGAACGCCAACAATCATCACGCTTTTCTGATAAGGCATCCACTAATTTAGAACCTTTCTTCAATTTTTCCAATTTACGTTCTTGACAGAAAAAGAAATTTTTTTTTAAATATACAATACAAAGTTCGAACTTAACACGTTTCTTTTGGATAACATTCAAAAAATATATTCACCTAAGCTTTGTATGTAATTGTTGGAATCACGCAAATGACATTCGCAATTACCGGTTTGTGGAAAGACCGGACACTGTGCAAAATTGGTGAAATTATCTTCAAATGAATTTTGCGAGTTTTTTGTTGATTTCCTAATTGAATACCAAGGGTCCGTCATTTTACAGAAGCACTTTCATCAACACATGTTTATATTATACACACATCAAATAATATAATGCAATGCTTAGAAATTATGCTCACGAAATGTGATCATTTTACGGTGATTGTCATGTTTGAAGAGGAAAGAGCATTTGTTCAAGTTTCAAATTATTTTTTATTAAATCCTTTAAAAAATGAT